TCTACCATCTCATCATCACACAGTACTCCATGACTGCATCTACCATCTCATCACACAGTACTCCATGCCCACTTCTACTATCTCTCCACCACGCAGTACTTTGTGACCAGATTTTCTGTGGATGCGATGCCAATATATTTCTACTATTTTAGTTGGACAGGGCTGCAGAAGCCCAGGATTGTCCGAAATGGGTAGCAGGTGTGTCTTATGTGAATGAGAGCACCTAAAAAGGCTTATCTTTCCCTTCATGTCCCTTCATTGAACTTCAAACCCACCACCTCACCCTTCTTAGTCAATTCTTGTGCAGTCATCTCCCAGAGCACCTCCTCTTGATGACTTTTTCACTGTCCTGACAAAGTGCCTGGCAGAAACAAGCTGAAGGAGGGGATTTACTTTGGCTCGTGGTTCGGTGTGTGTGTCAGGGGTGAAGTTCCATGTGTAGTCCCATGGTCTCCCTGAAATCTAACCTGACATTGTAGCAGCAGGAGCATGTGGGAGAGGAAAACTACTCCCCCACGGCCAGCCAGGACAGAGAAAGGTAAATGCTAGGTTCCAACCACCCTTTCCCTTTTTCTCCTTTTATTCTATGCAGTCAACATCCCATGGCATAGTGCCACCATATCCAAGGTGTGACTTCCCATCCGTTACTACTCTGTGGAAATGCCCCCATGAGGTGTGACTTCCCACCCGTTCCTACTCTGTGGAAATGCCCCCACGAGGTGTGACTTCCCATCCGTTCCTACTCTGTGGAAATGCCCCCACGAGGTGTGACTTCCCACCCGTTCCTACTCTGTGGAAATGCCCCCACGAGCTCACCACACCTATGCTCTAACCACCTCCTGGGTGATTTTAAATCCATCACGCTGACAATGAAGATCATCGTATCTGATTTTTAATGCTGGAAATTAGCTTTGACCTTTACATGCTTTTTTGTGACCTCTTCTTTTCTCCTGTCCTAGGATCTTTCCATAGGAGGTTTTTCTTTTGTCTATGTGGCTGCATGAATGGGATCTCTGTTTTTCACTGAGAAGTGAAATCCCATTGTATGTACAAATGTGTTATTCAACTGCTCATTCTCCTGGGGAAGATCATTAAGGACGGTTTGGGGTTGAGGCCCCAACAAAGAAAATGAACGTGAAAATTCATCAACATGTCATTATTAAAGATGATTGTAAGTAGGGGGTATAGAGATGGTTCCGTGGTTAAGCTCACTGGCTACTCTTCAAGAGGACCCGGGTTCAATACCCAGAACCCACTTGGTGGCTCACAACCATCTGTGACTCCAGTTCCAGGGCATCTGTCATCCTTGTCTGGCCTCCACAGACACCGAACATACACAGTGTATAGACAAACCTGCAGGTAAAATGATCATACACATAAAAATTTAAATAAAAAGAAAATACAATTATAACTAAGTCGAATGAATAATTGACAGAGCCCAGACTCAGGGCACTATCCTCTCAGGTGGGCGCCCCAGAAACCCGGACTCCAGACCAGTTGATGCAATCACAAGAGTCTTTATTTAGTCATTTGCGCAAACAGGCCCCCTCTACTAGTCAGTGAGAGGAGCCCCGAACAGTAATTGCAGACATCTTTTAAAGGCAAAACCCACAAAATTAACATAGCATTCGGGGCAATACATAATTGCCAGTTTAAAGATCAGCACCGGGGAGGGGGAATACAGCAATGGGGACTCTCCATGGGGGCTGCTTTTCTTCCTAGAATAGCCACAGGATGTTCTGCTAGACCCAGACAGTGTCACAAGGTGATTCTGCTGATGCCACAAGAAATATGACAAGAATATTTCTGCTGAGGCTAACGGTTTGGGGGCCTGGTTAGGGGCCTGAGGCTGGTACTCGTTCCCCTTTCTCATGTTTAATTCTTTCATAATGAAAACAGGAAAGCTTCAAATCGAATTATACCGAAAGCATTCCATATTAATACTTGTATGAGTGGAGCAAAACAGTGCATTGAAGGAGATTAGTAACCTACTGTGTTATCATTTATCATTGTAGCCACAAAAGAAAACCATAAGCTAAAAAAATAGCGGATTAGCACTTAGCACTTGCCACAGGGGAGTAATCCATAATTTATCCTTTGACCATGTAACTTTCAACTGTAATAAAATACACGAAGCAGCCATTTCAGCTGAAGGACAACAGGCAGCTCCAGGTTCCCGTTTTTGAGAACAAAAACACACACAAAGTAAGCCCCACAGTTATCCTCTCCTTTGGTTTGGAGAACTCCAAATTTCAGCGCGCGTGCGCGCGCGCGCGCGCACACACACACACACACACACACACACACACAAAACTGCATCATATGGATCTTCAGGCCGCCCCCCCCCCCCCCAGAGGTCATGTCCCCGCAGACTAAGATCATGGCTTAGTCTCTATCTGAAGGCACTGTCGGGAGGTGATGGGATCTGGAAAACCTGGCAGGAAGACCGAGGTCACTTGGGCTTGTGTTTGATCTTTGTATTGGAGCCCTGGCTCCTCCCTCTCATCCTGGGTTCCAGCCCACCACGAAGGGTGCCGCCTTGTCATGCGGGCGAGAGGGGGCGCTGTGCCCCACTTTGCCACAGACCCACGATGACAGGATCAGGAAAACACGGAACCCCTGAAACTAGGAGTCAAAGCGAATTTTTCCCCCTGTGGTGGTTTGGATGAGAACCCCACCCCCACCTCACCCCCCATAAGCCTCAGAATTTCATCAGCTGATTCCTAGTTGGTGGAGCTGCTTGGGAGGTTCAGACTGCCTCCTTGCTGGAGAAGCAGCCGCTGGGGGAGGCTTCAGATCATAAATCCTCAACCGGCTTCCCGTTCCTGTCTCTCTACTCTGAGCTAGCGTTGGAATGCGTCAACTCGCAGCTTTCTGCTCATGCTTTGCCTCCCTGCCGCCGCCGTGATGGCCTCTTATTCCTCCGGACCCACGAGCCCAAACAAACTCTCTCTTTTATAAGTTGCTTTCTGTCATGGTGTTTCGTCACTGCTGTGCCCAGATCCCAACGAGCTTATCCGAATGCAAAAGCAAGGTTTTACTGGGGAGCAATTCAAGCCTAGGCCAGACCCGTCAAGTCATCCAGCACAGTGGAGGCTGGAGGAGGTGCTCAGCCTGAATAGTGCATAGCTTTTAAAGGCAAAACCCACAAAGTTACATCAGTTTGGGGTGTGAGTACAGGTACAATTCTGATTGGCTCGGTTCTAGGGACTTTCCAGAAACCTTATCTTGTTGGTTTTTTTTTTTTTTTTTTGGTTTTTCGAGACAAAGTTTCTTTGTGTAGCTTTGCGCCTTTCCTGGATCTCGCTCTGTAGAACAGGCTGGCCTCGAACTCACAAAGATCCGCCTGCCTCTGCCTCCCTAGTGCTGGGATTAAAGGCATGTGAACCCACCGCCAAGCAGAAACCTTATCTTTAGCTTACATCAAAGGGGGGGTGCCGGTCACTGTTCCTCATTGACTGCCCTCAGGTGGGGAACATTTCTGTGGTTTTAAGCAATCACCATGGAGACTAGGGTTGGGATACTCTGTACTTTGCACTTTCTAATTCCTGGAATCTGGGTGGACTGGATCCAGTAACTCAAGGCCTAGACCTAAGATGGAGAACGTTTAGGCCTTATTTTAAAAATGCAGGAGCTTTGGTTCTTCAGTCACAGCAATAGTGGACAGGTGACGTATTTGTCACATAATCAGAAGCAGTGTGGTAACAGGGAGGGAAAAAAATCCATCCGACTTCAGAAAAAAAAAAATCCATCTGCTTTCTGTGTTACCAATGTAACAGGCCACTTAAACTGGAAGTCACATTACCAGCCTCAGAAATTTGCATTGGCATCCCATTAAGACTTTAAACACACATCAACTTGAGTGTATGTATTATGAGACTGGAATTACGAACGGGTCTGTAAAGCTTTTTAAACTACCAACATAATTTTATGCACATAAAGTCCATTAGGATTTATCTAAATAATTTGCATCTTCTTGTCTACCCGTCTTGTTTTGTCTTCCAGACTGTCCTCGTAGAATCATTTCCCCGAGGTTTGAAGGAAATAATTTAACAGTTCTTTCAGAAATAAATCTTGTTAGCAGACGCTCCCATTTTCTAAATGTGCAGACTTGACTTTCATTCCTGCGTCACAGCTACACAGAATGCTGACTTGGAGGCTGGCTGCTCTGACCGTCACATTTTCAAATACGGAGTCCGCTGGATTTTAACCTCCATTTTTGTCACTGAGAAAGCTACTCAGAAGTTGCCACAGTGTTTCCTTTCTCTG